CTGCAAAAAGGTGTCACATGCGGTCACAGTGGGATCTCGCCGCGAGCGATGTCACGCTTTTGTCACGATATGGGCCCGGGAGATGTGCAAAGTTGCCTCTCTATCTCGACACGCTCGTTATTTACTCTATCGGGCTGGTGTATTGTACTGTAGACAGCATATTAATGATACCCCAAGCCATTCCGCTGCAGTCCGTTGTGAGCATCATGAGAGATCTAGTGGACACTGTTTCTTTCCCATGGCCTACAGGACCCGTTTTCTCTCCCTCTCTTCAACCACAGCAGATATTCCCATTCTGACTTGGCAGAGGGTCTATTCTAGTGTATATATACCTGCCTGAGCTTACCCAACATTTTTTGGTTGAGTGTGGAATGAGATATAAGGGGGTGAGGGGGTTCTGCAAAATTTGCAGAACCCCCTCAATGATAGTAATGTTACAGCCGTTTGCAGATCGATAGACCATCAATTCAGAAAACCACGTATAGTCGGAGTGGGTCGGAGTGGGTGCCAGGGACGTCGGAAGAAGGTAGAGAAGTCCAGATGGTCTGATTTCTGTCTCTCGGGGACTTGAAATTACTTGTCCGACGTGGTCCGACTGTAAATGATTTTTTCCAGCCGTTTGCAGATCGATAGACCACCAATTCAGAAAATCGCGTATAGTCGGAGTGGGTCGGAGTGGGTGCCAGGGACGTCGGAGGAAGGTGGGGAAGTCCAGATGGTCTGATTTCCCTCTCTCGGGGACTCATAATTACTTGTCCGACGTGGTCCGACTGTAAATGATTTTTGAAAAGGGGGCCCATCAATCTGCAAACGGCTGTCAAGAAGTGCGCCCATCGATCTGCAAATGGCTGTAGGAAATGGGTTGTCGGGCCATGTCTACAGCATTCGTCACCTTGTTTCCGCGTTCGAGTCCAAAGCATATGTCAACGCTGAGGTCCTGTCTGCCAGTAGGCTGTTACAGGGGGGGGGGTCCTCAGCATGACAATGTCAATATTGCACGCGCCGTCTGAATCGGGTACAAGTTGGACGTCGTGGATCACAGAGGAACGACCCTTGTGGCCATCAATATCTCGAGGCAGGCGAAGTTCAGGAGCCCCGCCGCTACATAATGCTGGAGCGTTGACCCACGGCGGCTGTGTATATATCTGCAAGGTCACTTTGCAGACCGCCCGCTTTGCTCTCAACCTCTTCCTCGGGTGTACTCGCGTGGTCGACGTCGCCTCATCGCAGGACAAGGTAGCAGGTCTCCAGGTGAGTGTCTGTCTCCGTAGTTCGTCCAACTTCGTACCAAACTCTGACAGGGCGCTTGCATATGTTTAGCCATTCGAGTCAATTGATTCAAGTTGCCCTGTTACTGATACATAGGAAGATCAACTTAAAAATAACTAGCGGCGAATTCGAACAGTGCTGCTACCGTCGCATCGGGTACTACTGCTTAAAGGCGTATGCCAGAGATCCAGCCCGTGACGACATGTGTCCTGATATACTTGGTAGGATCGAGACCCTCAGGCTACGAAGTACCAGTGCGTCCTAACTAGAATCCAAAGATGTACTAGGGTGTCTTAGCCTGAGAAGTCTATAAATCCACGTCTCGCCCGATTAAAGGAGCACCTGTGGTCACTGCTGCTGACACGGTTCCGTGCCCTGTGGGGCGGGATCCCAGCATCATTGCGCTATATTCGTTATCTGTTCGTCTTTGCGCCTTGTACTACTCTAGGCTAACGCCCCATCCGTCACAGATGCACAGGATGTCCGGCTATTTCGTTTGCTCTATGGAACTCTGCTACGACCCTGGCTTATTCCGTGTCGAAAGTCCTTCCTTCGGCCTCCTGATTCCTTACTGATGGTCTCGAGAGGAGGTAGGCCGAGCTGACACAGTTGCAGATCTTTATGATTCAGGAATCCTAACGAGCGGTCTGCCATGGTGGTATTTCTGGAGTGGCATACAGGGAGCGCCGGCGTTGATGCCAACAGCTGCTATGGTTGCTTTCTGTTCGTCCCTCACCCGGCATCGTGCTAGCTTGCCGTCCGATGCCATACCAGGGAGCAGACCAGAAAAGATAGACGCCCTGCGGAATATAGAAGCAACCTCGTGTGTCATAGTCGATATTCTTGCTCCCCCTCCCAGTTGTCTCTCAGGCAAGGATGTTTGGTAAAGGCAAGACAGCCCCTGCCGTGTTGGCCATGGCCGGGATCATCGTCTCACTCTTATTCGATACGATGACGAAGGCGGCTGTGCCGGGGAGTACAACTGCTGTATGCGACACGTACATGTGGGTGCGTACAGAACCACATAAATTCGAAGGAGAGAAGCCCACGGAGTCCGTGATGTTTCTGTAGACATTCAACTCCCTGGGCCAGAGTCCTTGTCTAGTTGCCGCGAATCTGATAAGTGCATGTGGTAACGAAGGTTAGCCCCTCATATTTGTGTATAATAAAATTGCTGATATCTGACACGCGAATTCACAGCCTCTCTTGTGCCTGGTATCTGTCAGTATGAAGCCAATACTGTTGATGCACCAGCTTCGGTCAAGCCTTGCTTATGCACTATCGTGATTTATAACCTCTTGAGTGCCTGCGCCGCCTGCCAGAACTGTACTGTGCCGACACAGTGAGCGTCTAGACAATAACGCTGACGATGGCTAATATGTTATGTAGATTGAGCGACTGGTCGACATTCCTGGCGAACTGCTCAATTGCTGACATTTCCTTGAAAGGGTGCGGACTTTTGTGTGATTTCCGGCCGTTGCACTTATCCAACAACAGGTATCCCCAACCGATACCGCCTGGTACTAGCGTTCCAGCCTGGGCATATTTACAACCTAATGTGCGTGGCTGGAAACGAAGTACGGCGTCGTGACCTCACCCTTGAGCACAGGACGGCTATTGGGATGCGGCTGGCGCTGCAAATGATAACGGTATATGTCAAATGGTAGACATTCCACAGTCCAATCTGACATCATATGGGGAAAGGCGCTCCGGAATCCACGCCTTCAGCAAGCTTCACGACGGTGTCGGCCAGCGTGAGGGCGTCCTTTTCCACGACCATGACATCGCCCACAACCACATCGGCCATGTCCACCTCCAGTGCCCCTACCAGTACTCCCACCGATCCAAGCGGTACGAACAAAGGAGCCATTGCAGGGAGCGTCGTTGGCGCCTTGGTGGGTGTAGCGGCGATAGCTGGATCCATAATATATATCGTCTGGCGCAGAAAAAGGTCCCAGCGAGACCTCACCGATGCCGCGGCGGTCCGGGCATTAAATTCCTCCATCACAATTCAGAGGGTCTACGTGAGTCTCACCTTGCAGACATGTCATAGGCTATATTGACATCACTGAGCTATAGGACCCTGCTGACCCCAGCACTTATCCGCCACCTATGGACCAACTTCAGGTGGCACACTCCCGCCCTTCTAGTGCAGTCCGGATGATCGTTGATCGTGTCTCCCACCCTGGTCTTCCAGAGCTGTAAGCAATTGCCTGCCGTCCCCGAGGGCCAAACCCCCGTTTCGTTAAAAGAACTCTGATGATTTCTTATTTTATTATGCGATGATTGGATTGGATTGTATGTTTCGATGTTCCCATGATAAAGCATTGCTATCATGTTGCGTAAGCAGTATTCCTGAGATCTCGTCGAGAGGGCATGCCCAAAGCGTGTATCGAGCTTAGGGCAGCTTGACGCCACAAACCAGTCCCTGGTAAATGAGAGAAGGTCTTATATGGTAAGTCTGCTGCGAATACCAATTGATAAGAATAGAACGACGACGTCGATCAATTCCTACAACCTTGTGGGCTCCAGTGGGCTTCTGCAGATCATCAATGCTTTGGGCCATGCCTACACCGGTCGTCGTTCGCGATATATAGTGAACCACAAGGCAGCCGTGACACGCTTGGGATCCTTGTAGCAGATGCTTTCCGGGTGCTAGCCAAAGTGGAGTCTTAAGGCTGGTGCAGGTAGGCCTCAGCACAATATTGCATGTGCCGGCGGGTACATGTACATCGTCGATCACAACAAAGAGGAACATCGTTTTGCCAAGATATCTGAATCATTTCAATCCAGTCCAGGCTTGGCGGCGGCGAAGAACAGGAACGCCCACCGACGGCTGTGCTTGTACGTATCTGCAAGGCTGTGTTCCGCCACTTTGTAGACCACCCGCGTTGCGCTCAACCTCTTCCTCGACGTATGCTGGCGGCGTCGACGTCGCCTCACCGCAGGACAGGTCCTACACGATGCACCGACCCCTCCCGTTTTCGATTCTATTTGGCATTTCTATTGGGCTGGCTACGGCCTTCAGTGTGAATTACGGGGACCCATCGCAATGCGATGATTTCAAGGTTTCCTGGAGTGGTACGTATCGCTCTCCAGAACAACTAAAGGAGATCCGCTATTTACCGCTCAAATTCAGGAGGAAACGCTCCTTTCTCTCTTGTCCTTGTACCAGTACATCCAATAACGCCATTCTCCCTATCTTCATTTTGACGTGCTCTCTAGTTATACGGGACACCCCGCAATGTTTCCATTCCCGCTTCTGCATACGACGGCTCGTCCGGATCCTTTTCCACGCAGATTCCATTCGCCGAAAATTCGCAAATGCAAGCTGTGATGTACGACTCGAGCGGCGTGCTCTCGGGCTCCCTGACTCAAGTAAAGCTAGTTGGCGGGAACACAAACGGGCAGAGCTGCAACGTTACAGACCCGCACCCGTATTTCACGTACGCCTGGCCGGATGGACAGAGCCCGGTACAGTGCCAGTAAGTTTATAGGACTTACATCTCCTGTCCTTTACCCTAATCGCTTATAGACCGTTCGAATTTTTCGCTTACGACAATGCAACGCTCCCTATCACGCTCACTGTAAGTCACTGCACAATTGTCCAACTCTATTTATCCTATTAATTTTTCGTAGATCCTGCCAGCCGGGCAAGACCCGCAGGTCGTCCAGTCCAACACCACCCAGCAGCGATTCGACTGGATTGCCGAGATCGCGGCAGGAACGTCCGTTGTATTCATGATGACCGACGCGCAGGGCCACCAGGGCGGCGCCTCGGGCCTGCAGGTCATCCAGCCCTCCTCCAATTACACCTGCCTCATATACCCCACCACTTCTTCCTCTTCCACCAACCCCACCTCAACCTCTCCGTCTAACAAATCTGGCCAAAACAACGGCGACGAGGAGCACACGATATCCGTCGGCACCATCGCGGGCATCGCCGTCGGCGGCGCGGTCGTCGCGCTCCTCGCAGCCGGTGCTGCCTTCTGCCTCTGGCGCCGCTGCCGCCCACGTCGCTCGCGCGTCGCCGTGCTCGACCTCAAGGAGCGCCCGATGGTGGACATGGACTTCCACAGGCCAAGTCGCGAGGACTACCACGTTGTCTCGCCCTTCACCGCGCTCCCGCTCTCCGACGCGGCCTATCTGGCCGGGCGGCCGAGCCATTCGCAGCAGAGCACCAGCGAGTGGTCGTCCGGCAAGAGCGCAGGCTACCCCCCGAGTCATACCCCGCTCAGATCGTCTAACGCTTCGCTGTTCTCCCCTGCACCTGGCGGCGCGTCGTCGTCGACGCGCGTGGTGGTGCACCAGGACTACGCGGACGCAGATCCGGCTGAGGTAGTCGAGCTCCCGCCAGCGTATCGCGAGGACCGTGAGCCGATTCCTGGGCTGCCCGCGCCGAATCCGCCACCAGTGGGCTCTGGGTCTTCACGTTCAGGTAAAAGGCGATGACCAAGTGACAGAGGCCGAACCATTACGCTCCTTACTACTCGTTCTTGGATAGTACGACAGGCATCCCCATTACTATATCTAACGGGACACTTTGCTCTATCTTGATTAACCCTCATGTCTGCAGACATCGGCGTCTACTATCATGACCACTACTGTACCAGTATCGGACTCCCACCAGGGGTTTAATTACAGCTATATGTCCATATTATTCTTCTCAGCTTCGTAACGCGGTTTGAACAGGCGCCTTGAAATGCACGCTGTCAGAAGTCTAGGTATGCGACGTTGACGGCAAGAGATAAGAATACAAGGAATGGTAAAGCAGGCCCCTGTAGATACATTTTAACGCTGATCCAATGGCGGGACTTGCGAAGACGTAATCAAAGAAGCAGCAGGTGGAAAATACGCTAGGGGTTATCTGCTCGACGCGGCGCTTGTCCACCTACTTTTCCCCGCGGTTTGACCCAGATGGTGTCGGTGAGTTAACATCGTCCGCATACGGCAGCCCGGGAACCGAAGACAGCGGCCTTCTGTCTTCACGATACTGTGGCGGAAGCTCCACATAATCCTCCTCTTCCGGAGATAGCACGTCCTCCGCATCCTGGTGCACCAGTACACGCGAGGGCGGATACTCAGAATAGGTATTGTTACTCGTACTATACCGGCTGGAGGACGTGACCTTCCTAGCGCGGGACGACGACGTCGGCGAGAGGTACCGCTGGCCTTCTTCGTCATGCGTGTACGACGTCCTGCCCGACGGTGTCGGGGGCGATACAGGGGACGCAGGAGACTCTTCCCGGCTTCTGCTTCCACCCGGCGCATCAAGGAGGAAGGGGGTAGGTTCGTATGCGCCCGGAGTGAGCTGGCTCATCCGCGGGAAGGGGTCTGGCTCGTGCCCGGCAAGGTCAATATCGATCGGTCTCGGAGAAGAACTGTCGCGCCTCCTGCGGAGGAAGAACCAAGCCACGAGGATCATAGAGGCGACTGCGACTATGCACCCGATGATGATTCCCGCAATCGCGCCGGGCGCCAGGCCGGAGTTGCCTGAGGCGTCGGAGGGCGCCCATGTCTGCGTGGGCGGGACTAGAGCGGAGGAAGTGGTGGCGACGGTCAGGCAGGAGGAGTCGGACGAGTATCCGACGGTCGAGACGTTCGAGGCGCCCCCTTGACGGCCCTCGGAGTCCGTCACTACGAAGATGACGTTCGTTCCCGCAGTAATGTTGGTAGTCCAATTGTACAAGGTAGGGCCGACAGGTGGATGGAGCAGCATGGGATTCTTCGCTGGGATTATTGCCTTGGGGAACAGGAGTCAGACTGCACCACTCGCAAGAACGCGCGCTTACCATAATCTGCACTGGTTGCACGGCATTGCTGTAATTACTGAACGTATACGGCCTATGATTGGATTCGCGTGGGTAGGAATTGTGGAGATAACGCGCTAGAGTACTTACTGGCATTGGACAAGAGGGGTATTCAGCTCATAAAAGAAATCAACGCCCGGGTCAGAGGTGTTGCACCTGTTCCCTCCAATATTCGGCCCTACGGTGAGAAGATCGGACGTCCCTCCGGACGGTACGCCCGTAGCGTCCAGCATGGACAGCACCATCTGCTGCCCTCGAGGGAAAGGTATCTGGACCTGGTACGCGCCTCGCCCATTACTGAACACGGACGCCGGTACAGAAATGTTCCGTGGCGTCCCGTAGACCTGAGGTATCAATCTTAGCTGCGAGCTTCAGGACAACGTAGAAGGGAGCGCACAGGCGTCAGGTACAGATCGAAGGGTGGCGTGCCCCCTACAGAAGTAAGCACGAATGAACAAGGGCAATCCGCTGGAGCATCTGAGCCTACGAGTCCCACCTGTCCATGAAACGTTCATGTCATCGCACTCCGTCGGCGCACTGAACGATAGGCTGAACGTCTGAGCCACGGCCAACCTCGTGCAGGACGCGCCGACAAGCACCGAGAGGATCCCATTTCTCAGGCTATTCACCACACTCGGGGACATATGTATGTGGATACGTGGCGGTCAAAGATGGAGAGGGAGAGGAGGCCAGTGTCGGGCGGCACAACGATTAGATCGCAGAAGGGACTCGAGCGAGCAAGGTCGGGCTGGCTGCGCAGCTGTGCAGGCCAGCAAGCTTACATAGAGTTTCATGAAACGCCGGGAAGGGAAGCGCACATATATACATAGCACCCGTCGCCGAATATATCACTGTGCATGGCGTCCGCGCTGTAGTGGCAAACATGCGGCGACGGGCGCTCCAAACACGGATGCTGAAGGGAGTACTCCAGGCCCCCTGAAAATACCCATAGTGGTCTGATACCGGTTTTGGTAAAAATCACCCTCAAATGGGTGCCAGGTCTGATACAGTTTTGGTAAAGGACCTGCCGGTGGGATCTATCTTGGATACCAATTTTTGGGTAAAAACAGCCATCCAGAGCAAAGGTCAGATACTATTTGGGTAACAATTATGGCCACAACAGTGCCACAACTTGCCACAATGATCAGGTGGGAGATTCTTGGATTCTGTATCCACCAGTGCACCTTGGAGAGGCTCATAAAGCCCATACATAACTAACTCTGGTATTGCCACAGGTGCGGGAACCTTTTTTGTGAATGAATAAATATCCTCAAGCCCTCAGGTTGGATAAAAATGTTTCGGTAAAAATCACATCTAAGACAAGAGGTTGGATACTTTTCAGGTAAAATACATCCCAATATGGTAATTTTGGTTTCGGTAAAAATGGGGAGAAAGTTGGTATCTGGTATCAAACCTCTATAGGTATTTTCAGGGGGCCTAGTACTCCGGGATGAAGTTGGGATCACATGATCAGAAGGCGTCGCACTTGACAGCTGGACGGTGAGGCATGGGAGAAGAGCTCGGAGTTCCCTGAGAAATTATTGATAACAGAGACGTGCCTCGGGACGACCATCCTTGAAAGTGGGGCTGTAGGTCATATACCTCATTGCCACTGCGCCGGAGGTTTTGTCTCGTCAATGATGCCAGGGTATGTTCGGAAGAGTAACACTTAATCTTGACAGGATCAGCGCAGTCAGGAGCTTGTGGGAACGAGATTTCGTCAACTCTGTAAAAAAGAACATATGCTGCAATGCTCTGATGATATCGGGCTGAGTAGTATCGTGGATTAGACGGGTCTTGCCTCTAGCAGAACCTAACCACGTCTGACCGGAGCGAAGGGAATGGAAGTCGTGAGTCAGACCCCCACCTGTGAGGCGAATATACACTCACCAGCAAATGATAGTGCCCCTTGAGCAGGATTCAATTACCGCTCCATGACGTACTTCGATCCTAGGCCGAACAAAAGATGACAAACAAGGGACTTGGACACCGGAGAACACCAAACGATGACATATCGAAGTCAAAAAGATGCATTATGGAACACCTACTTACACACCCAGATCAAAGCTGTAGTGCGATAGATGAACATAAGTAGATGATCATGTGGGGAACCATGATTGCATGTACGCCCAGTGACAATGACAACGCCAGCAAGTGCAGCGCATCAAATAATGTGAGCGATGAATATACATCTAGCATTCTGAAAATTTCTCGGCTGGCATGGGGACTTGCAGCGAGCCAGTGTTGAATGCAACAGCATAGTAAGTGCGAGTCGCGGGTCACGTCAAGGTGAAGTCCGGCTGATAGCACTTAGCAGTATTAAGAATGATAGCCACGTTCAAGTATGTTTTACTTCGTTCAACCTCAAAAGACCAGAGGCGAAGGAGTGTTCGCAGCAAAGAAGAGATGAAACAATGTTTCAAGCAATGGTCATGGCTGTTATATATATTTCCGAAAACGCCTGCCCTAAACGTTATCACGTGACATTGATTGCCATGCCACAGCGGCTGTGACAGTGCAGTAACAGCACGATCGCGATGAGGTTCGAGCCTTCAGTCCAGCGGAATCTCTCAGTTTTCTATTCTCTTGAGCGCAGGAATGCGCGTCTCTCACTGTCCTCGTATAAGTGGAACAGTAAGTAAGACGAGAACTGTAGCGTATGATTTATTAAATATCAAAGGAATGGTGGCATCGATTACGCACGCTCTTGAACGCATTATCTTGTTTGCATTTTATAGGTAAGTACATGGATATCGGCTATAGAGGACAATATGCCAATTTCACGAAAGCCAGCACCCTTGATATCCGTTCTCTGCGCAATACGGATCACGCACCTACATGTACTCGTATCGTACTTGCCATTGGTTCGAATGGCTTCACGGCTCTTCACGGCGATCCCGGGTTTTAGTTAGCGGAGATCAAGTTTGAAGGGGATCTTCCCTTTCCATCAAGGCATTGCTGTGCGACACTCACCATATTGTACAAGGACGACGGCTACTGACGTCTCACTCATCTTGGAAGAATGTCTGCCATTACCTCAATACTCGTTGCAGTCGGTGTCCTGGCAGTGACTCTGCTAATTACCCATGCACGAGAAGCTTCGAGGCTGAAAGACCTACCAGGCCCGCCGCCTCCAAGTAAAATTACAGGCCACGCTCTTGATCTCCATATGTCACCCGTGGGGACACGTTACAACGTGTGGGCCAAACAGTACGGGCACACGTACAAACTGTATGGAGCATTCTCGGTGAGGAAACGTCCTACTGGCCGAGTTTTAGCGTCGGACTTGATGCGGGACGCCAGGAGCGCTGGCTCATAATGGGCGATCCTAAGGGAATATCCCATGTGTTGTCTGCAAAGGCCTTGAACTACGTTCGCCCCCATGTCGATCGCGTCGTCTTGGGACTCTGGGTAGATCTATCGAATTTGGTCTCCACGAACTTCACTTATTTTCAGCTAGTTCGGGCAGGGACTATTCACTGCAGAAGGCTGGTGTTGCGCGTCTTGATAGGTATAAATAACTTACAAAAAGTCAGGCGATGAACATCAGAGGATGAGGAAGATATTGAGCCCGGCATTCACGTAGGAGAACTCAAATCGTCGAAGTATCCCTCTTTAACTTCCCACTAGCTATCAGTCCGTCAAAAACGTGTCGCACATATTTTATCTGCTCACAGATCGAGTGCGTAGTACGCCCCATGCCAGATTCTTTCCTCTCCTGACTTATGTCTCAAGCTCACTCAACGATGGGACGAAATACTGGGCGACAAAGACTCCGGAATCTTCGACATCGCCCCCAGTCTACACACCCTTACGTGAGTCTTATTCAAGTTTTTTGACAAGTGCTCACGGCGCTGAAATGTTACTCTGCGCCCCAGCTTAGACGCAATCAGCATGTCCATGTTCATGCACGACATTGACGCCACCAACAACACAATACCAGATCTTCTGCAAAAGTTCACCAACGCACCCCAGGAAAACATGCTCGCGCTGTTTATGGGTACCATCGTGTCTGCGTTCCCGCGCCTCCTGACCCTCCCTTCGCCGATGAAGACGTGGGCGGGGAACCTGCGCAGCGAGCTCCGGAGTATTGCTGAAGGGGTGTGGCGGGGCGCGACGAGCGACGCGGCGGGCCTTGATGCGAAGTTGTTGAGGTTGTTGAGTAAGTGGACCGGGGCCCCGTTCTTTCCATGTGGGATCGAAGTTTTGATGTGGCTGCAGATGAACGGGGAGAGGCTATGAGTAAGGAGGTGGTCGTGGCTAACGTACGTTCCTGGGATACGCATGAATGTCGACTAACTATAGCTTTGGCGACAGATTATTGGAGTCCTCTTCGCCGGCTCAGAATCCTCGGCGAACGTCATATCAGTGAGCACCACTTCCTCAGTCTGCAGCCCATGCATCCAACTCCTATTTTCAGGAAATCCTATACGAAATGGCACTTCACGAAGACGTGCAAACACTTCTCCGCGAAGGAAATCCATCACTTCGAACATACCTCGAACCATCCCCCTTCATTCGACGACCTGATGAACCCATCTGCGCTCCCCTACCTAGATGCCGTCGTCCGCGAAGGTCTGCGCTGCAAAGCGGTGCTCATGGACATCTCTCGTGTGGTGAGTTCGTCCTGCATGACCTCTATGCTTTATTCCACCTACCTTGCGTGCAGGCAGTAGAGGATGATGTCATCCCTCTCCAGTTCCCCGTACGCGGGACGGGCGCTACGTTCGTCGGAGTAAAAGCTGGGCAAACGGTGATGATACCGGTACGCGATGGCGTCAACTGCGACGAGGAGATATGGGGCGGCGACGCCACAGAGTTTCGGCCGGAGCGGTGGATGGATGGCAGCCTTCCGTCTGCTGTGGCTTCGATACAAGCTCAGGGCCATACATCACGGGTGAGTGGAAAGAGAGTTTGAGGAATTGGTGCGGTGAGAGGGCCTGATGCTGTGAGTTTCAGGCCTAAAGTGTGCCTTGGCCGGACGTTTGGTAAGAATCATCCACGTCTTCCCCTCGTACGATGTGTCTGAAATACTATGTGTTGCAGCTATCGCCGAAATCAAGGCCAGTCCCTTCCATATGCGCTGCACTCGCGTATTTTTTTGATCATATACCGGCCCGAGCAGGCCGTCCTGGTAGCTACGGTGCGGCATTTCGCGTTCGCAGAAGCAGGGGTCGCGCTGGACTTCTACCATCTCGGTGGAAACACTGTCAAGCCGAAGGTACGCGGTCGCGAGGACGAGGGCGTCCAGTTACCTCTGCATGTCAAGAGACTATGAATACTCGTCTCACCTATGAATACTCGTCTCACGTCTGTGTGTATGTATATTTACCCTTCCATTACTGCTCTATGTACTGAACGTCTCCCGGTTGACTAGATGGTGCGTTACTATTGGCTAGTGATCACTGATTGATGGTGTTCCGGCGCTGTCAGACCAATCTATCCCGCGAGGTCGTGTCTTCTGTTGCAGGAACGTTTGTTGGACCGATGCTAGATCCTTCAGGAACCACAGAAACAGCCCCCGGAGAGTGACTTCGTCTCCGGATTATGGAGAGAAAAGCTGTCGAACACTGGTATGCTAACGTGCAAGAAGCATCTCCTTGCGTATCTTTTGAAGACAATACATGTTGCCTGTACTCTCCTGTGTTCTCATCGGTGCCGTAAATGTCAGGCAGGGTAATTGCAACCCAAATGAACGACCACGTAAGTTCTATTATAACGCCAGCTCAGTATCATGGTATCTTCTATGATGTTTTAAGTTTCGACATTTGAGCTGATCCGATCTGTACAGCGGCGACATCGGGGCAAGTCACCTTGTTCTCTTTGGGATCTGTGGGTCCCGGCCCGTCCATTCCTGGAACTTCTGCACCTAGCCCTTTGGCTACGAGTGGTTCATGAGGCGTGAGTCCATGTGAACTACCAGCGCTCATCAATGCTTCTCCGTCCAAGACGAGGAGTCTCCCAACTACTACTATGGTTTCGCGATGAATCGCCTCCGAGACTCTCGACCGTCTCCCTTCGATGTTCCCTACCCTTTGCGTTTGACTGAGCAGGCTCTAGATATCGACCGTATTCCTTCTACCGTCGATTCGCGGGCATCGAATCTGCGGCGGGCGCGATATTCGAGGTTATCGGCATTCGCCAATAGCGCAAGATGTCCTGGGCGTTGATCGTAGTTTTATTCGCCATCATCAAACTTCCATTCTGTGCAGGAGTGAACGTAACCTTCACCCCGCCCACGCAATGCGACCACCTCAATGTTTCGTGGACCGGTGAGTACTCGTATATGCCTTAATTCTACGTGAAGACTCCTCAAGATCCATCATTTCAGGTGGTCAACCGCCTTTCGAGTTCAACTTTATATCTGTAAGTGATTTCAGGCCGTCAGGGGTCAATATCGACTTTTTAACACCTGCCCTGTAGGTCTATGGAAGACAGTTAGTCCAGTCCGTCGACTCCTCGGCATTTAGCGATGGCAAGGGTTTCTTTCAGATGCGAATCCCTTTCCCTTCGGGCACGCAGATGTTGTTCGTCATGAAGGATGCGACTGGATATCCAGCTGGCACAACTTCCAGTCTTGTCAGTGTTGGTCCGAACGTTGGCGGCACAAAGTGCAACACAACTATAATACCACCGGACTTCACGTTCGCCACCGATGATGGTGTCCAGCAATGCCAGTGAGTAGAGCCTCTATGTCTAGCTTCATGTATCCGTGTTGACTTTCATTAAAGATCCTTCCAATTTTATGACTACAATGGTGGTACAACTCAGCCCGTGACAATCATGGTCAGTAACTCGATAATTATTACCGTGGAAATTTATGAAACCGATGTCCCTAGGGTATCATCCCCGGTGACCAGGTCTTCACCCTTGCACCACCAAAGGGATCGACATCCTTCAATTGGACAGAGAATATGCCGAGTTTCTCCACTGTACTCTTCACAATGGTCGACTCCGCTGGTCATCGCGGCGGCGTAACCCAGCTTCTGACGGTCGAACAGACCGGCAACTCCGGCTGTCTGAACAAATCCTTTCCTGCTCCTAATCCTACACCACCTGCGCAAGTGAGCAATGTGCTACCCCCTGGAGCGTCTCAGGCATCCTCTTCATCCGGCAAGGACAAAGGTCTTTCTGCCGCACAATTCGCCGGTATCCCCATCGCATGCGTTGTGGGAGGCATCGCCATTTTCGCCGTTATAATCACCGCCGTCAGACAAAGACGCGCGAAGCTTCAAAGGCGTCGTGACGCCGCTGCTTTGGATATGGGGGAAGGCTCAGCAGCGCCGGAGAACATTATCACACCCTTCCCGCCGCACATGTTCGAGCATTCGTGCGCAGCTTCCGGTCCTATCTCGATGCACGCTGGCGGCGCTCTTGGGAGCACGACAAATCTATCCGTTCACAGTGGTATCGGGGCTATCTTTCCGTCTTACCATCCGCTTTCGTATGGTAACACGGCGGGGCAGGAAGCCCTCGACCCGTATGAGCCCCCTGATTATCACTCGGTTATTGCTAGCCCTGACACATCGACCACCGGGGCCGGTAACAGCTCTTCGAGCCGTGCTGGATTGCGTATTTATACGGTGACGAACCATAGTGACAGCTCACCGGATGCCGTAGACGAGAAGGCTACGTTACCCCACATCAATCAAAGCGACGCCCAGTGAATAGTGCCAGGTAGCAATTCGTATGTGTCGGTCGTATTCGAGAGCAGTTTTTGTCTCGCCATCGTTTCGGTGTAATTTATCTATTCCGCAATCTCTAGGCGCGATAGTATATATATCTTCACTTCGCGAAATTCGACCTTCATTTTTAGCGATATGGTTGTATTTATTAGCTATAGGATCAAGGATCGCGTTAGTAGTATCCGTCACGACGAAACGCAAGGGTGATGATACAAGGGCATTAGTCCTCAAAACCATCCTGTAGTAAGCTGCTTTCGTTATCTTCTTGGAGAGCTACCTTGCTCCTCGCCTCCTCCACGTACCCGACCATCAAATCGACGACCTTCCTCAGATTCATACTGTACTTCGCCGAGACCGGAACGACGTCCAGGGTCCTTCCCTCTCCATCCTCAAGGCGCATCTCGGTCTTCACAAAGTCCTCAAGCCTGGCTAGCTTACGTCTCGCCTCTTCCACATCCTCGCCCCCATCGGCGCCCAGCAGGTCCGCCTTGTTGGCGATGATCATGCGTGCCTTGCCGCTCATTCCCTCGCGGTACTTCTCCAGCTCGTCCCGCAGGACACGCAACTCCTCCCACGGGGCGTCGCAGGAGAGATCGACGACGTAGACAAGCGCGTGCGAGCGCTCGATCGAACGAAGGAAGGAGTGGCCAAGGCCCTTATTCTCCGAGGCGTGCTCGATGAGCCCCGGGTTGTCCGTAATGGTGAAACGGAACTTCTCGCCGATGGTCGAATCGTACGACGGTCGGTCGCTGTCGGGCACCTGTTCCTGGTGAGATGCGTCCGAGGCTGAGTTTTCGCCTTCCCCGTCGACGTATCCCCGGACGTCCATTCCCTCTCTAAGCCTACCCTGCTCCAGAGCCGTCTCGTCGTAGACCTTACCCTCCTCGCCGCCCACCCAGCCATTAGGCCCGATCCTGACAACTCCGACCACCCGGTTCAGCGTCGTAAACGCCCATCCCGCGACCTCGCTCTTCACGCGCCCGCCAGTCAACGCACGCACGAGCGTGCTCTTGCCTGCGTTCGGCATGCCCACCAGCGCAACGTCCGCGAGGATCTTCAGCTCGAGCTCGAGCGACACCCACTCGCCGTCCATCCCGCGGCTCGCCGTCTTCGGCGACCTGTTCGTCTTGCTCAGGAAGTGCGGGTTGCCAAGCCCGCCCGCGCCGCCCTCGGCGATGAGGTATCCCCAGTTCTTCGTACGCGGGAGGCCCAAGGGAGCGTCGGCGTCACGCTCCGTCTCGGGCGTCTCGACTGCCTTGTCGAGGTCAAGATGGATTAACCCTCTGCGGAGCCGGCGCATGCGGATCGCGCGCTCCTCCGCCGCGAGCATGCGGTCCGCCTCCTTAAACGTCTCGCGCTGCAGGTTGTCGTCCTCGAAGCCGGGGTAGTGCACCCACCTTCTTTCCCTGATCTTCTTCAGCCGCTCTTCAGGATCGAGGCCCTCCAGCCGCTCCTCGAAGCGCTCCCACGCGTCCTTGGCGCGCCGCGGGTCGTCGAAGGGGAGCTGCCGCACGACGGTGCCGAGCGGGACGCGGATGATGGTCGGCTCGGCGTCCTTGCCGTTGCGCCAGGTGCCCCCGCCGGTCCCGCCGGGCGCGCCTTTGACGATGCGCCGCACGGAGGAGAGGGTGGTGAGGTGCGGGGTGGGTAGGAGGTATACGGAGGAACCGGCGCCGCCGTTGCCGCCTGATGGTGGTCCCATGGGTTTCCACTTTTCGCGGTGGAAGGCTACGCAGCCGTCGCCGCCTCTACCTAATGAGATTGTCAGTACGATATAGAGCTAGTAGCGTGGCGCATAGATAGCCAATGCGAAAGGGGACATTATATGACCTCTGTATCAATCACCGCAGTGATAAAGACGTACAAGCTGAAAGCGCACTTGCCTGCAGACATGAACTGGAGGAAATCACACACCGGCTCTGACATGAACTATTCTTTGATCCATAAATGTCTCTCCCTGTACGAGTGTTCGATATCCTCCCCGAGAAGGATATGCAGAAATGCACGCACCCTCTGTCTCCTCTTTGCATCAGTCTTCCGCCTCCGACGCATGAACTCGGCCTGTCTCGCGTCGTAGTCGTCTTCGTCTTCCACGTCATATCTGCTGAGTGTAGAATGATTGTTACTGGAGGTAGACTCTCCATTCCCAGCGGTCGATGACCAAGATCGCGCGCGAGCCAAGCTCGACTGTATCCTCCAGCCGTGAACGTGTACACGGCAACATGGGCGGAACATTTTCCAAAACAGAGAAAGATATCCGGAGTTTTAGCTCATCCAAATAATAAAACAGGTCACGGCGTGCAAGGAAAACTTGGAAGGAGTCCAGTGAGTGTTTAACGTTGTAATGCCCAGACAGCTTCAGCAGCTGCCTTCTACAGTAGTTCTACCCCAAATTTATTAATAAATGATGTGATGCTAGGCTGCTCAGTTCCCTATGTTTTGATTGGCAACCACGTGACTTCCCCGTACACGTCCCTACACGTCTACCTCCAGTGTGCATCGCTTCCGAAAGTCCTCTTTATAGCTTCACTTCTGTCTTCCGCCTTATAGCAGCCTCAGTATGTTTGCGGAAGAGCTGAAGGCCTTCCGAAGGCTGGGCGTCCGAGGGGTACGAGACATTCTTAGTTGCCAGGTTTCAGGAATGATTCTGACGATGACCAGGTTCTGGTGCAACTCCTCAACTTCGCGTCCGTAATTGCGTCTGGTTTAATGATGTGGAAAGGCCTCGGACTCCTTACGAATACAGAAAGCCCGATTGTAGTTGTACTGAGGTGCGCACTCAACCGCACGGCACGCGTTTCACCACTAATTATTGCTGGTAATGTCGTAGCGGGTCCATGGAACCAGCGTTCTACCGCGGCGACCTTCTCTTCCTCACAAACCCTCCAAACGTGCCATACCAAACCGGCGACATCACCGTGTACAAAGTCCCTGGCAGTCCCATCCCCATCGTCCACCGCATCCTCGAAACGCGGGGGATAGTCCGCAACGCGCCGAAGAGCGCTATCGCCCAGGACGTCGCGGACGGGCAGAAGAGCGCGGTGCTGCGCGCTGTAGAGGGCCAAGAGGTCGAGCAGTTGCTGTTGACGAAGGGGGATAATAACCCGATCGACGACGTCGATCTGTATAATGGCTTGGATTGGCTGGAGCGAAGGCATGTCGTGGGTAAGGTCCGAGGGTGAGTGTTCCTGACGAACGAATATGAACGTCCCTGTGCTGATTATACTTGTGTGTCCATAGGTTCTTACCATACATTGGATACGTGACGATCGCCATGGTAAGTACCTCTATAACTCTCAGTTCAGAATGCTATTGACACATGAACTACTCCAGAATGACCACCCGAACCTGAAATACCTCCTACTAGGTGTCCTAGGGTTGTTCGCTCTCATACAGAGGGAGTAGTCTCTATCGTCTGATCTTGTACTGTAACTGCCTAATTATTGGAATTCTCGAAACTTTCTGGGGATGGAGACACCATTTTACCAGGTGAGTACACGCACAGGCCGAACCCTGTAAGTGTTCTCGCACGTTTCTTGACTTTGCTGAGGCGTCCGGGGATTCCTGTCAATTTTCGATCTCTCTGCTCGACATCAAAAGCGATGGTCTTCACCAGCGTGTGCTTTCTTTTTGAATTTATATGCCGCTTCTTTCACAAATAGGCGGCCCTCGTATCGTTGTACCTCGTCTCCTCTCCATCAATACCGATGTCAAGGTGTCAGCGAGTCCACGAGGCGTCCATCTCATTTGGCCGGCTTTCACTCGGTTCCCTTCCAGACGTCCCATGAGTAGTGCGATTACCAGGCTTCGAATTCGCTCTAACTCGGGTCTGCCATCGATATTCTGGCGATCTTCAGTGCCTTCCTATTGTACTAGGGACGAAAGGTCCGGCTGAGACGCTCAATGCTCCACTTTATGGCTTAAACAAAGCTAAATGATCATTTCTACGGGTTGGACAAATCGAGCAAATGAGAGCTGCCCAAGACGCCATGATTTCCCCCCAGACCCAGTCAAGTCGCTCTATGTTCCACATCACCGGCTCCCGGATCACCCAACATGACTCAGTTGCACTGCTGAGCAGCTAGCTCTTTGGGACATACGTCCGGATTGAAAACGATGTAGCCGTTCTAGACCTCGGTCAGCGACATGACGGCAGGAGAGTGAGCTTTCGAATATACATGTACTCACATCGTACAGGCAGGCGAACTCAATCACCACTTCGTGCGGCGTCGCAATATACCTTTCGCAATACTTTCAGTACTATCGACATGAATAAATACCCGAACCAGTCACTTACTCGCAGTCCACGTACGTCCCATTGACATGGGATCCGGCCAGATTGTATGTGACGTCGCGCACTGTTACCGTCTGGGCGCATCCACTGGCAGAGCAGGCAGCATGGGGTGCTGCTAGAGAGTGGCCCAGCAAGGAGACGAGGAGGGGAACAACGGCAAGGATTATAGACAACATGCTGACTGGGAGATCAGGTCGAGGGAGACGAGCGCAGACCCAAGCTCTTATATAGGCTGGGCCCGATGTTTAATATGTCTCTCATTATCAGTACTTCGGGTATGATGCGAATAATGGGAAACGCAAGGTGAGGCAAAGAAGAGACGCTCACTATAACAAGTGAATTAAGTCTGCAGAAGTTTAGGCCACTAGGGCCGTTTGAGAATTGGTGTTCGCCGTACTTTTGTCGCGCTAGCCATCTGCACCCAAACGGATTGCAAACCCAGACGCTCGGGTGCAAGACTGAACATCCACAAACATTTGCCATGCCGTTGTCCGAATATACATACAAGTAAGAGTCCGTCATCAAACACTGTGGGTCTTCTCTCTGTCATGTAGACGATAATGCGGCGCACGCACATCGTCGACTATAGGTCGCGCCGTACTCTGATTACTTACCACTACTCGGTGAAGGCTCTACCTTCCTGGACGCCCTTGACACCTATGGCATTGACGGTTCCCGAATAAGGTCGCTTATGGCCGCATCGGTGCCAGCGATGAATGGATGGTTAGAGCTGTGCAGCTTACTGGCATGACCAAGGGCCCGAGGCTGATAGAGCTTAATCAGTGGTACAAAGGCCGCCCTTCCAGAAACGATAGTGCTCACCTCCTCTTCCACAATGTTTCCCAACGCCCCATACACTGTACCTCTTATCGCTTTCTTGGCGACGCTACGACTGGTATCAGCTCAGACATGCGCTGTTTGCGCTGGGTCGTTTGTGGTGAACAGCACTACAACGTACACTCTCGTCGATTCCACGTCTGCTGGGGTAAACGCTACTTTCTGCGGGTCAGTGAAAAACTGTCATCAGACAGGGTTGTTCGCTTAGGAATTGATGGCGTGCTCCATGTGCAGATATAACGAGAATGCAATTACTGGTCCAGGTGTATTCGACGTGTCTTGCTTTTACGATGTGAGCGAAAGATCTGTCTTGGTGGGTCTGGGCAACTCTTAGCTGTGCAACTTGGACAGGACTCCGGGTACATCATCGAAGGCTCCGACGCGGTTTGCCCTTTGACGGCCTATACTGACCCGTGCTGAGGGAGTTGAGATAAAGGGAGCGACCTACCTTCGAGAAGTCGTTTGTCTAAGCGGATGAACTGACCAGCACTTTCGAGCCCATAGTACCGCCGTGGATACACAGATCATCGTAGTTCACATCTGTATCCGTGGTTTGTCGTAGTCTGGTCTGTACTTGAATTCTACGGTGACAACCTTGCTGGAAGGTCGTCTTCATTCCACTGTACTCGAGCATTCCGTGAGAGTAGATGTGCCGTTCGGTAGTCCTGGTGGCGGGCGCTGACTACGAACTCCATGTTCCGTTGTTGGCGGACGGGATCTAAAGCTAAACAGTGGGAGTTAGAGTGTTACATGGAGGTAAAGAGGACGGCTCAAAGAGTTCGCGTTCGGAATCATGATCTTATTAAAAGGTTGCGTGGGAACCCAACGCCACTCACCACTAGCAGGTTATCTGCCGTGATTGCCACACTCGCATCATCCAATTTGGATGCACGAAACAATACCGCGTTCGCCCGCAGCCGTCTGTATGAGGTCTTAGGCGCATACTAGGAGCTTGGAGCTCAGCAGCGAACGGGACAGAATGAGATGCAATGATGGCACTAGACGGACTCTGCATAGCCGGAGTACCCCACTGCTCTCCGAGAGGCCTAGGAGAAGAGAGCGGAAAGCGCACGCAACGCAGAGACCGGACGAACGAAAGACATTGTGCCAGGTACGCACCTTTCGTTAGTACCTGCCTTACCGCCATAGTCTTACGTTCTCCCGGCTCTTACGAAACACAGTAGTGCCGCTGAGACTGCATATGCCGTCTTCCGGGATGGACAGGACGCCGCATGTGCGAACGGCCTGCTCTAGGTAGCTCTCGATTGAATGTAAAGGCGAATCGGAACTCACCTTTAGATCACCGTCATCCCGCATCTTGTCGGGGATGGACCCGGAGGATGCGGCACCGCGCTGGCTATGTTTGTAGTCTGGAGGGGAAGCAATGCGCTAAGGGGTAAGGCGGCCCTGAGTTACTAGAATGCAAGTGCCTGAACTTACACGGGCTCATGTTTCGCGAGTAGCCTATAAAGTGGGTACGGAAGGACTAGAGAAGCCACCACGCCCGTATCGATTCCACAATAAATCCAATGAAGGTCAAAGCAGCTTCCATCACGACAATACTTGCGGTCGCCTCTTCGGCAGTTGCCCAGTGCGCTGTCTGTCCCACCGAGATCGTGGTGGGAAATACAGTCTACTATGACGTGGCATCCAGCGGTGGCCTAGGAGAACCACAATTCTGCTCGTGAGTCATTCTGTCGGTGTTCGGGCGAGGCATCGAGGTAATACTGACTTACTCACGCGACGGCGAATAGGTACAACTCCGACCCCAGTGGTGGTGTCAACCTGTCGCAGGTGTGCTGGTATGGGGTGCGTGGCTTCAGTTCAAATTTGCGTAATGTGCGACTATAACAGCGAGTTCTACGAGCAGGGAAGTGGTGGTCTGATCACCGGTAATAGCTGGTCAGAGTGCCCCTCCTCGACGTCCACCCAAAACTGCACGCACCAAAACTGAAGAGTCCTAATAACCGCGTTATCAGGGTTGTACCATAGCCGTTTGTATGCAACCTGGGATCATCGGATGATAAAGCATTACTGTGCTGAAATGAGATTCGATGCCACGGCTGGGATGAAGACCGCCGATGGATCGACAAAGTGGGTTGCGGCAGCTACCGTTGCCGAGCAGGACCAGGTCGACTTTAGGAAATCGAGCACAGCAATGCGGGCTTGCACTCGGGGTCCTGGCACCGCGTGATGGAAAGGAGTGACATCCACCTCTAAATATCGAGTTCCTCCTGTGCTAATGCTTGTTGACTTCTATGTGCTCTCTCAGTACACTTCTATTAGGTCTGAGAGTATGGAAAGAGCCTATACACATAGTCTGGTACAGTATATGTGTAATTAGCACCCTTCTCCTTTGTATGAATTGTGCAATACTATATATTACCAAGGTCTGCCTATGGTACAAGTGACAACTCTGCTTTGTTGTTTAAGATCTAGACAAACCATGTAGTCTGGTTCATAGCTCGTATACACTCATCATGGAATTGTAGGAGTGGTGGCATGTCAGGATTGAGGTGGCTCTCTAACAACCATCCCGACTTGGAAGGTACATCGGCGAAGTATCCCGTGCCTCAAAGACTCCAACAAGAATTCCGGTGGGGGAAAGTGCTATTCGAAGCAATGTGTTGCACTTTATAGTAGGTTTGATAGCTAAGAACAGTGGACTATATGTTGGTATCAGAAGCCGGCCGGTGAATTAAGTACATGTCCTAGGCTACTACTAAATCTGAGTGTGACCAGTCTCATCTCCTGGCAACTTGTATCATCAATGTAGAGATTGAAGCTTCAATATGGCTTGAATGAACAATGCTTTCTTCCGTGAGATCTACGGTCCTGTGGCGGG